ATATTTTAAGTTATTATTTTAAGTAATTATTCCAAACATATTTTATTTTTTTATAAATGCATTTATTTTGAATGGTAAATATATTTTTGCATTATTTGGTAATATTATGTAATTATTAAATAAAATAAATCTGTTTTCTTTATTTTTATCATTTTTTTAATTTAAATGATATATACGGACCGATACCGGTCCGTATAGATATATATGGACCGGGATCGATCCGTATATGCCCTTAAACAACAGCTTTTTATTTTTTTTGTTATTTCATGCTTAAGTCGTTCTACTCTCGTTTTAAACCGTAACATTCCGAATGTTTGCAAGCCAAAGTGGTTAACTTAAATATAAAAAAAAATTAATTTTCTTTGCTTGTGACTCCGTAAAAGCATTACATAACATTATCTCTAATAACCTTTAACTTATACGTTCATGGTTTTGCAACAATATTACTTCGTACCATCGTAAGATAATTTCAGGTAGACAATCGATGGTTTTGTGGTTCCAAGGGACTGTAGGGTCGATGTACATGCAATTGGTTTTCGCAGGAATGGATTTAGAACACGAGAAGATAGTAATGTCTTTAAATGAAAAGAATAAAAATGTGCACTGTGAGAAGTTTCTGGATTTTTTCTAGTATATTTGAACCAAAATCGGTCTGAAAAATGAAAAGCATAGAAGCTTCTGGATTCTTTGCATATATTCATACCAAAACCAGTTCGTATATATATTCATACTTAATTTAATTTAGCTCTAGGATAAAAAATCCCTTGAGTGCCTATATTCAGATCGATACCGGTCCGTATATATCTATACGGACCAAGATCAGTCCGTATATATCTATACGGACCAAGATCAGTCCGTATATATCTATACCGACCGAGATCGGTCCGTATATGCCCCTGAACAATAGCTTTTTATTTTTTTTGTTATTTCATGCTTAAGTCGTTCTACTCTCGTTTTAAACCGTAACATACCGAATGTTTGCAAGCCAAAGTGGTTAACCCAAATAAAAAAAATTAAATTTATTTTCTTATGACTTCAAAAGAGCATTACGTAACATTATCTCTAATAACCTTGAACTTATACGTTCGTGATTTTGCAACGATATTACTCCGTACTAGGGGTGTTCATATCTGATCCAATCTGATTGATCCGACCTAAACTGATCCAATCTGATTAAAAACTAAATCAAACCGATATAAAATTGGGTTGGTTTAGATTATACAAATTTAAAACCGATATAATTGGTTTGGTTTGTGGTTTTACTTTCAAACTGCCCGAACCGCCCGATTATAAAAAAAAATCCGATTAGAAGATAACTTAATTAAATAATATAATATTTTTATAATATTTCAAATTTTCTTTTTCTTATTTTACAAGATAATGACTCTGTTGATTTAATTAAAAATAAAAATAGCATATCTTATATTTCGTAATTTATTTTTTCTTTTTTTTTTTAATTATATATCTAAATTTTAATTCTAAATTTCAAATTCCCCTACAATTCTACCTTTATAAGTGAATTGCAACTTTATTCTTAAAACCCTACCTTCTTGAGTGGCGTGCACTTGCCAAGGTTGTCGTCTTCATTTTGCTAGGTTGTCGTCTAGGTTGTTATCTTCATTTTGTTGGGTTTATTCTTAAACACATAATATGGGTGTCGACACCATGGGTTAATAGTCCAAAATCAAACTTTCTATTTCCTGTTTTGTGTCGACACATAATTCAGGATGTCAACACTATACGTTCAGCGTCCAACATTCAAGTTTCTTATTCTGTTTTAAATCCTACTTCTGTTTCAAATCCTACTTCTATTTCAATTAGGGTTTCTAAAATCTTATAAATACTCATCCAAATTCAGAATTAAAAAAGCTTGGGAGGCTGGTGGCAGCCCTCTTTTGGGTATTCTTGGAGATCAAGATAAAGATTTAAGAATTTGTTTATAATTTCTAAATCTTTTCAATTTTTACAATTGTAAAAAAGTATAAGAATTTGTTTATAATTCGTACTTTTTTAATTATGTTTTTATTTATTTGGATATTAACGTATTTTATATTTATGTTTTTTACTTAATGTTAAATTTATTTACATTATCTCATATATTTAATAGTGTTAAAAATCGATCAATCCGACCGAACCACACCGATCCGATTTAAATTGAATTGGTTTGGTTATCATATAATAGTGGATTGGATTGGTTTAAAAATTTTACTAACCGATTAAATTTGATTGAATTAAAAAATGTTAAAATCCGAACCAAACCACACTACGAACACCCCTACTCCGTACCATCGTAAGATAATTTTAGGTAGACAATCGATGGTTTTGTGGTTCCAAGGGATTGTAGGGTCGATGTACATGCAGTTGGTTTTCGCAGGAATGGATTTAGGACACGAGAAGATGGTAATGTCCTTAAATGAAAAGAATAAAAATGTGCACTGGGAGAAGTTTCTGGATTTTTTCTAGTATATTTGGACCAAAATCGGTCTGAAAAATGAAAAGCATGGAAGCTTCTGGATTCTTTACATATATTCAGACCAAAACCGGTCCGTATATATATTCATACTTAATTTAATTTAGCTCTAGGGTAAAAAAATCCCTCGGATTGCCTATATTCGAACTGATCTCGGTCCGTATATTCCCCTGAACAACACTTTTTATTTTTTTTGTTATTTCATGCTTAAGTCATTCTACTCTCATTTTAAACCGTAACATTTCGAATGTTTGCAAGCCAAAGTGGTTAACCTTAAGAAAAAAAAAATGAATTTTATTTGCTTATTACTCCGAAAAAGCATTACGTAACATTATCTTCAATAACCTGAAACTTATACATTCGTGGTTTTGCAACGATATTATTCAATACCATTATAAGATAATTTTCAGTAGACAATTGATGCTTTCATGGTTCTAAGGAATTGTAGTGTCGATGTACATGCAATTAGTTTTCGCAGGAATGGATTGAGGACATGAGAAAATGGTGATGTCCTTAAATGAAAAGAATAAAAATGTGTCCTGTGAATTTTTTCCCAATATATTCGGACCAAAATCGATCCGAATAGGAT